TCTGGATCCTCCCCTTAACCTGTTCACTCCTTTCCCATTCTCTCTCTGTGCTAGATCACCAGACAGAGATCTGCATCTGCATTCATTCCCTGCCACTTCTCTGTTTCCCTGGGCTATCCCCCCAATTTGTAATCAAATGGTCTCTCCTGAAATAGGCCAGCTAGAGCTTCAGAGACTTTTTATGGACCTCGAAAGATGGGATTAAAGGGTAGGGAGAAGTCAAACCTATTATTCAAAGACTTGTGAGGAAAGTGAAGGGGGTGGGTGCCAAATAAACGAGGGTATCAGAGTACATTGAGATGAAAGTTTTGGGCCCTGAGAGGAAAACACTAAATTCTGGAGACTCACATTCAGAATTTTGCTTTTTAAAAATATGTGGGGGAGGGGGGCACCTGGGTGGCTCAGTCTGCCTTCGGCTCAGGTCGTGACCTCAGGGTCCTGGGATGGAGCCCCACATCGAACTCCCTGCTCAGTGGAGAGTCTGCTTCTCCCTCTCCCTCTCACCCCTGCTCGTGCTCTCTCTCTCAAATAAATACATAAAATCTAAAAAAACCCCACAAAACTACACAGGTTTAAAAAAATAAATTAATTAATTTAAAAAAAATTAAAAAAAAAAAAAGGGGGCGCCTGGGTGGCTCAGTTGGTTAAGCGACTGCCTTCGGCTCAGGTCATGATCCTGGAGTCCCGGGATCGAGTCTGACATCAGGCTCCCTGCTCAGCAGGGAGTCTGCTTCTCCCTCTGACCCTCCTCCCTCTCATGCTGTCTCTCATTGTCTCTCTTGCAAATAAATAAAATCTTAAGAAAAAAAAAAATTAAAAAAAAAAACTACACAGGTTTAAAAATATATATACACATGTGTGGGGAAGGCAAAAAGGGAATCCTAGCTTCAATCTAAGCTACTACGTTAACCACTGGGATTCAAGTGTATCAGAGCGCACTTGGCAAAGTAGTGCTGGCCTGTAAGAAGCTTGCTGCATGGGACTGAATTCTTCACCGGGAAAGGACTCTCTTACGCAGGGGAGATGGAGTCCAGCACATGAACTTGACCTCGTAACAGGGTCCTGGCCATGCAAAGGAAATAGTAAGTCTGAAGTCAGCATCGTGTTTGGTACTGCTGTTCCTGTGTCCATCTGTGCCCCAGATCATATAGAATCAGGCATGTGTTCTCACCACGGCTGCTGAACTGCTAAGTACACAATGTGATGTGCAACAGACAGCCTCACGGGCTACACTACTTTGGAAAACTCCCCCAAATGGGAAGAAATTGTTGAAACTAATTGGATAGTGGTTTAAACTGCTCATCCACAATTAGACGTAACTACCAGAGAGTGGGAACTTGCAATTTTCTGTGAACTTCCTATGGTGGTAAAATAAATTTCTTCAAATGGTATCACATGAAGAGGGGCTTTAAAATTAGGGTGTATGGATCGGGGCGCCTGGGTGGCTCAGTCGTTAAGCGTCTGCCTTCGGCTCAGGTCATGATCCCAGGGTCCTGGGATCGAGCCTCGCATCGGGCTCCCTGCTCTGCGGGAAGCCTTCTTCTCCCTCTCCCACTCCCCCTGCTTGTGTTCCTTCTCTCGCTGTGTCTCTCTGTCAAATAAATAAATAAAATCTTTAAAAAAATAATAATAAAATTAAATTAAATTAAATTAGGGTGTATGGATCATGGATCATAAATGTTAGGTAAGAAAACACAAAGAAACAAAAGAAACTTGGAGACTTTCCAAGAGCTAAAAGAGAAGCTATGGCATTTGTATTTGGGTTGATCCAAAGTCCCTCCCCTCCTGTCCCAGCTCCCTGGGAAAAATTTTTGCTGGTGATCAGGCTGATTATGAAATAGGCAATTCAGGAGGCAATATAGCTCACGAGAGAAGCTGCACAATGCTGAAAGCTGTGGGTGTTTGAGGATTTACAGTGCCCTAGATCAAAGAATTTTGAATTGTGGTTAGATCGTGGCTGATTAGAGCCACTGAGGTGTTGCAAGGTTAGATCTATAGGGCAGAGAAGCAATGGGAAAATGATAGAAAGTCCACAGGACTCTGCTCTAGCATTACCCATAGCTTCGAAACTACAAATGCATCTGTATCTGAATGGTTGTTTAACAAGAACTGAAAAAAATATTTAGTAATTAGGAGACTAGTAAGGACTTAGACACCCACTGAAATGAAAGGGAAAGGACTTGTAAATGTTGACAGTAGCGGAGCTGGGCAAAAGACAGTGAAAATGGGACAAGAGGACATGATTTAGCTAATCAGCCTAGACAGGAGCAAGTGACAGCAGAAGGTATGGTGAAATATTATTGTGAGAGCTGAGAAGGAATGATGGAGAGAGCGAGATTATTGCTCTCCCAATTCTTACTGTTGGTAAATTAACTTGGGAGAAGGATGACATGGCATTAGAAGCTTATAGGAAAAAGTACAAAATAAAGACTGAATTACAGACTCATTGATGACAGTGGGTTGATGACAAGAACGTGGAGGTGGTCTAAGAATATAAAATCATAGGGCGCCTGGGTGGCTCAGTCGTTAAGCGTCTGCCTTCGGCTCAGGTCATGATCCCAGGGTCCTGGGATCGAGTCCCACATCGGGCTTCCCGCTCTGCGGGAGGCCTGCTTCTCCCTCTCCCATTCCCCCTGCTTGTGTTCCTGCTCTCGCTGTGTCTCTCTCTGTTAAATAAATAAATGGAATCTTTGAAAAAAATAAAATAAAATAAAATAAAATCATAGCTATGGCATTGAAGACTTCCATGAATGGAGGTAGTTAGCATGTTTCCTAGAGGACAGATGGCCCCTAGACAAACATTCAGAATGCTCGTGGGCACATTCCACCGCCCAAAATATTTTATGCCTGGTATGACAAAGGTAAGCATAAACAAGTCAGTTACAATTGCTAGGGGGAAAAATAAAACACTACAGTACCAAGAAAAACTGCAGGGAAGGAAAGAGATCCCCGTGATTTTAATGCTCAGTGCAGTCAGAGACCCAGCGCCTCAAGGCAGTGACCAGAGAGCACTGTGAGAGCTGCTGAAACCAGAAGGTACTCCATCCAGAAACAAAACAAGAGCATGTCCACCAATCTGGAGCAGCCCTTGTCTAGAAGACCGAAGCAATAATTTAAGCTTTCCAAGTCCTCAAATTATTGCCTAGGTATTAGATGCCTGTTCTCCCCCTGGACCAGTGTTTCTCAAAGTGGACTCTGAGGATCATCTTAGGAATGTGTACATACAGATTCCTACCATCTATTCCACCCATCACCACTGCTCAACAAGAGTCTCTGGAACTGGGACCCAAGAATCTTCATGTTCAATAAACTCCCCAGAGGATTCCTTATGGACTCTACTAGCTAATCCATGTGGATTAATTTTCAAATGCCTACACTGAAGTCTATTCTCCAGATCTCTGGCATTCCAGATCATGTATGTATGTATGCATGTAACATTTAATTTTTATATATTTATATATATTTATATTTTATATATTTAAATTATAAATGTATTTTAAAAAGATTTCTTTATTTACTTGATAGAGAGGGAGAGAGAGAAAGCACAAGCAGGGGGAGCGGCAGGCAGAGGGAGAGTAAGAAGTAGGTTCCCCACTGAGCAGGGAGCCCGATGCGGGGCTCGATCCCAGGACTCTGGGACCATGACCTGAGCTGAAGGCAGATGCTTAACCGACTGAGCCACCCAGGTGCCCCTATCAATTTATTTTTATATAAATAACATTTTACAGATTTACAGAAGTTTGCAAAGAACCATAGAGGGAAGTCCTATGCACCCTTTCCCCAGCCTTCCCCAGTGTTAACATCTTATAACCATAGTACTTCTTCCATAAAGCTTATTCAGACTTCCCAGTTTTACATACAACACTAAAGTTTGCACTCCATTGTCCTAGACTGATGGAACACTTCAAAAAAAAGTCAGAGCAAGACTGGCACCGGAGACAGGAGGTAGAAGAATCCAGTCCTGTCTAGGCCAGGCACTAGGCCACCTGACAGTTAAAGGGAATTGGTGGAGCATGGTTGTTGCTTATACCCTTCACCACTGGGACTCACGGGAAGGCCACAAGCAGATCTGGGGAGATGCTTTCACCAAAGCCACCTTCTTTGGGCATCCGGAGATAGAGGCAGGGCTAGTTTCAGTCAGAATCTCATTGAAGAATTATCTGCTTATCTGGCAGGAGAGCCCCATCTGTTTGCTTTTGAGCCAATGGAAACTGCCAGCTCCCAAGGTAATAAAGAGTCTTTCCTAAATCAGAAAGTGCACTGCTGCTTATTCTTGAGGGAGCTGTTATAGGGATGCAGGAGGTCCAGTGTGGGTGAATCAATAATAGCCAGTGTGCCAAGGCCCAGGATATTGCTCTTGGGGGGACAAAGGCACTTTTAGCAGGAGGTCACTGAAAGCTGAGCCCAGGAAAGGTATCAACAAAACACTAGAGAAACTCTAGTTGATATTTTTCTTAATCGCCCATTTCTTTGTGAGGATGGCACTTTTGAAGGGGCTCCAGGCTGGGCCCACCACTTGAATTCTGCACATATGGGCAGGTCAGGAGAATTGGCAGGGCTGAAGACTCCAGAAGTTTATCTAAATAAGTTGGAGTCTTCCCAGGATAGCCTTTGCTCTAAGAGAAGGGAATCGAGAAGATCCCAGCAATGAAGCTTGTCACTGGAATGTGTTAGCAAGCCCTTCAGTCCAATGAAGGAGGTTGGAGGGTGACTAGGAGGTCATGTTACAGGCAAAACCTGAAAGAACTGTTTTACTAAAACCCTGTAAGACCGTGTATACAAATGGCAGTTTTGATACATAAATGGAAAAAGCAAAACCCTAAAATGGATTAAAAGACATTTGTCCCTGTATTTTAAAAAAATTAATAGTTGCTTTAAAAGAAGTTTTAGATTCACAGGGAACTTGAACAGAAAGTATAGAGTTCCCATAAATTCCCCCCTTCCCCCATGCACAATTTCCCCCATTATTAACATCCTGAATTAGTTTGGTAGATTCCTACCTTTTTATGCATTGAACCCAGTCTAAGCAGCAACAGTCCTCCGCAAAATATGCCCAGGGGATGTGGTGCTACCCAGATAAAGCAGAGGCCAGGCCTGGCAGATATGGGTGCCTGGTGGACATACAAACAGAGGGAGGGTTGGAGCAATGGAAGAATGGAAGAGCAGCAGAGACAATGTAATCGTTAACTGAGCTTGTTTATGAGTGTGTGCAAAACATCACTAAGACCTCCAAGATATACTGCTCACGAACTTTTGGGGGATCAGGAGTCCTGAATTAGCAGGTGGGAATAAGAGCAAGAGAAATATGGGTTACGGAGAAGCATAGCAGTGAAGGAATACATGCTCCAGAATCACACTGACTAGGTTCCAATCCTGGCTTTACCACTTAACTACCTGTGTGATCCTGGCTAACCACTGTATGTTTCAGTTCTGCTTCTGTAAAATGGAAGACATTATAATTTCTACCTTATGCAGTTGTTGTGACAATTATACGAGCTTGAAACATGTAAAGAAAGCACTTAGGGGTGCCTGGGTGGCTCAGTTGGTTAAGCGACTGCCTTCGGCTCAGGTCATGATCCTGGAGTCCCGGGATCGAGTCCCGCATCGGGCTCCCTGCTCGGCGGGGAGTCTGCTTCTCCCTCTGACCCTCCCCCCTCGCATGTGCTCTCTCTCTCTCATTCTCTCTGTCTCAAATAAATAAATAAAATCTTTAAAGAAAAAAAAAAAAAGAAAGCACTTACAGTATTTTGTGTGCACCAGGTAAACATTCAGTAAATAGTACAGTACCTATCCCATAGGGTTGCCATGGAAATTAAAAATGATGATACAGGTAAAGCACTCCTTTAGAAGAGACATGATAAATGTCAGCTATTACTGTGTGATGTAAATTAAATTTTAAATGGTGTCAGTATATATATTGGAAGACTGTCCAAAGGAGAAACAATTACAAAATTTTTATTTGGCAGTATAAAAACAAAACTAACTGCAGTTATTTATGCAAATTGCTTACCACTTATGTCTAATTACTATGAAGCACAATAACAATTATACATAACATGAAGTGTGTCAGATTAACTTTGCTAAAACTTTTGATTATAACACCAACCTCTGTGTACATATGCTTAGTGTTCCCTGTCTGTTCCTCCTGTGGTATGATCATTTGCTAACGTAGCACGGTCGTCTGCTCACAATGTTAGAAACTTAGTGGGAGCACTGGCTTGCCAGACTTCCTTCTCATATCCTTCCCCAGATCTTTTTCAGTCCTTATTATCCTACAATTTTCTGTTCATTCTGATGATCCTTCCATCCTTTTTTTGAAACCCTTTAGTTCAATCCATTTTTAAAGAGCACTTATTCTGTTCAAGGTATTGTAGTGGGAGCTGGAAGGTGATACAAGGAAAACTAAGGCAATCCTTACTAATAGTCAAGTAGTAGGGAATAAAAGGAAACCTTAATACAAGGCGGAAGAAAGTTGCTGTGAGTCTTCAAGAAATGCTGGTTGTGGCTTTTGAACTAGAATCTTAAAAATAAGTAAAATGTTTATACGGAATTGACTATTCTGGACATTTTGTATAAATAGAATCATACATCTTATGAAGCAGAGAAAGATGGGGGAGTTTTCCTTTTAAATAGGATGACCAAAGAAAGCTTTAGGGAGAATGACACACTGGATTTAAAGGACGAATGCAGGTGAAGGAACAAACTATGTGGATATCTGAGTAAAAAGCATTCCGGGCAGAAAGAACAGCAAGTGCAATGGCCCAGAGACTGGAGAGTGCCTGGTGTGTTGGAGGAACAACAAGGAGACCAGTGTGGCTGGAGCAGAGTAAGTAAGGGGAGAGTAGTACGAGATTAGGCATTAACGGAGGCCAGATTGTATAGGATTTTATAAAACAGGGTAAGAGTTTGGCTTCTGTTCTATGTGAAATAGGAAATCATTAGAAGATTTTGAGGAGAAAGTAGCAAAATTTGATTTACATTTTATTTTTTTAAAGATTTATTTATTTATTTGAGAGGGGGTGCAGGGAGGGGTGGAGAGAAAATCTTCAAGCAGACTCCCCACTAAGCATGGAGCCTGACATGGGGCTCGGTCTCATGACACATGAGATCATGACCAGAGTGGAAAGCAAGAGTTGGATGTTCAACCGACTGAGGCCACCCAGGTGCCCCTGATCTATATTTTAAAGGGACTGATCTTTAAAGGGACCAATCATTTTGAGAATAATATATGGGAGAATAAGGGTGGAAACGAGGAGCTCAGTCAGTAGGCTTTAACAATAATCCAGGCAACGGGGTGCCTGGCTGGCTCAATTGGTAGAGCATGCGACTTTTGCTCTCGGGGTTGTGAGTTCAAGCCCCACACTGGGTGTAGAGATTGCTTAAAAGTAAAATCTTAAAAACAAAACAATAATCCAGGCAAGAGACGATGATAGCTTGGACCCAGTGATAGCAGTGACGGTGCTGAGAACTGATTAGAGTCTGAATATAATTTGAGCCGGAGTTGGCAGGATTTGATGACAGAATGAATATGGGATGTGAGAGAAAGAAAGGAGTCAAAGATGATTCCAAGATTGTTGTCTGACAACTAGAAGGAGGAACTGTCCTTTACCTAAGTGGGGAAGACTACAGAAGGAGCAGGTTTGGGATGGTGGCAGCAAAGATCAGGAGTTAAGTTTTGGATGTATTAAGTTTGAGATGCCCATCAAACATTGTAGTGGAGATGTCAAGAATATAGTTGGATATGCAAGTCTGGAGTTCAAGAAAAGGTCTGAGAATTGTTGGGAGGGTAAGGCACAAGCCTTTTGAATGACACTCAGCCTGGGTAGTATCTTCAGCAACTGTCCATATGAGGGATGGGAAGCTTGTACTTCGTCTAGGAGCATGCTGATTGTACCATGTTCTATTGAGCTGTCTCCACTTGGTAAACACATTTTATATCTTCTACTGTTTATTAGCATTCTGCCTCCAATCACATAATTGTCCCTAGGTAATACCCATACAAACACTTAAATTCCTTCCTCTCTGGCTCTCTTTACACTTTCTAACATCACACACTAACTATGCTTTCTATAACCCATATTATATTTTACTCCCTAATAAAAAATCTTGCCATTGTCTCATTAATTAAGAACAAGATCCTCCTCCTTTGGTGTTCACAAGGACACACAGTCTTTTTTTTTTTTAATTGAGATATAGTCAACATATAACATTAGTTTCCAGTATACAACAGAATGATTTGATATATGAACATACTGCAAAATGATCATTACAATAACTCTAGTTAATACCTATCCCAAGTCTTTTCTTAATACTGGATGGTCTGGATATGAGGAAGCCAGCCCTAACGGTTTGAATATGTCTGCAAATAACTCCAGGGTTAACAAACATTAATTAATGGAAATGTCCACACAAGGCCTACAGTCTTGTCCCATGGCAGGTGTTCAATTAAATCTAATTGATTAATCATTTCGGCTCAACCAGCATATCATACAAATCTTTACATATTGTAGGATCTTGAGAAAAGAATCCTCTATTATCTGCCCCCACCCCGCTCCCCCCGGCCCATGGTTCCCTGTGATTCCAACTTAGTATCCTCTCACAGTGTGACTCTTCACCCAGGCTCATGGCAAAGCTTTCTCTTTTGTCTGCCACTTGATTTTTGTTCTGTTGCTGTTTTCTTTCCTGATACTGTCTATCCTCTGAATGGGAACTAGCCTCTGTCTGACCTGGTAATGTCCAAAAGTCTTTGCAAATTATGCCCAACATAAAGATTGCCTCTGTGAGCCAGAGCAAGACTCTCTGGTGTTACCCCATTATAGCCACACACATCCCCTATCCCTAGCCCCTGGCAATCATTAATCTATTCTCCAGCTCTGTAATTACGTATTTCACAATGGTTACATAAATGAAATCATGAAGTATGTATCCTTTTTTTTTTTTTTTTTGAGAGAGAGAGACAGAGAGATAGAGCATGAGTGGGGGAGAGGAAGAGAGAGAATCCTAAGCAGGCTCATGCCCAGTGGGGAGCCTGACACTGGGCTTGATCTCACGACCTTGAGATCATGACCTGAGCAGAAATTGAGTCCGAGTCCGATGCTTAACCAACAGAGCCACTCAGGTGCCCCAAAGTATGTATCCTTTTGAGATTGGCTTTGATCATTTTGTATAATGTCCTTGAGGTTCATCCACGTTATTGAATGTATCAATTAGTTCATTCCTTTTTACCACTGAGTAATGCTCTGTGGCATGGATGTACCACAGTTATTTTATCCACTTACCCTTGGAAAGGTATTTGAGTAGTTTCCAGTTTTGGGGTATTATGAATAAATTGTTATAAGCATCCATGTACAAGTTCCTGAGTAAAGATAAATCTTCATTTCTTTGGGATAAATGCCCAAGAGTGGAACTGCTAAGTTGAATGGCAAGTCCATTTATTTCAGTTTTGAAAGAAATGGCCAAACTATTTTCCAGAGTCAGATTATTTATTTTTGGAATTTAATTATGACTCAGGTCCTAGAAAGACACTCTACTATTTACCTCTTTCTGATTAGAGAACTATCGAGTTCTATGGAGTCTGATGGACGTGGATTCAATCCTGCTTCAATCACTTATTATCTAGGTGAGCCTGAACAATATATCTACCTTTTTGAGTCTCAGATTCCCTATTTAAAAAATAGGGATAATAATGGCCAAGAGAGTAAGAATTTAACAAGATCAACATGTAAAATTCTCACAGTAGAGTGTCGGTTCACAGTAGTGAGTTAACGCTCTCCCCACTCCATGGCAAAATAATAATCAAATATTACTCCCAACATTTTCGGTATTTGAAATTTTAAAAATCAAAAGAAAGCATAATGTTAGCTCCTTTTTTTTTTTTTTTTTTAAGTAGGCTCCACGCCCAGCATGGAGCCCAGTGTGGGGACTGAATCACGATGCTGAGATCAAGACCTGAGCTGAGATCAAGAGTTGGACGTTTAACTGACTGAGCCACCCAGGCGCCCTAATGTTAGCTCCTTTTGTACATATTCTATTAGATAAATTATCTTTAATAGATTCCTTATGCATAATTTTTTGTTGGCAAAACCATTTTCATTTCTTCCTATCAATTATG